GTCAAATCCTGAGTCAAACGTGTGGCTCAGTGATTGTAGTGGGCTATAGCAGATTCAAAGGCAATCACAAATGTACCTCTGTTTAAAGAAGCTCTGGATTTGGAAAGTACAGTTGGGGTGGGGATGGGTTTGGGGGGGTTGGGTCGGGAGGGGAGGAACGTTGGCTGATTGGAGCAGCTTTCACTAAGGAAGGGGCTGAAAGTCTTCTGTCCTGCACTAAGAGATGGTCTCAGTGTAATGGGAAATCTCTACCCCGCACCCAGCTCAATGCCAGGTGTTGTCGCTGCCTTCAAATGCGAAGCGGAAAGTATATCGAGTTGCCACTCACACAGTCACCCCGAAGCACACCTCCTACACTTCCCACACCTCCCACACCCACACCTTCTACACCTCCCACACCTCCTACACCCACACCTCCTACACCCACACCTCCTACACCCACACCTTCTACACCTCCCACACCTCCTACACCCACACCTTCTACACCTCCCACACCTCCTACACCCACATCTCCTACACTTCCCACACCTCCTACACTTCCCACACCTCCCACACCCACACCTCCCACAGAGACCGCACCTTGGTTACGTTACGAGATGCGGCTTCAAAACATAAGAGTGTGTACACACACACCACACATGCGCACCACATACACCACACCACATGCACGTACACCACGTACACACCACATACACGCACACCACACACACACACCACACACACACACACTGCTGCTGCCTGTTGGATAGACTGTCGGGACAGTTGTTTGTGCATTGCGTCTATAATTTGTTTGTCACTGTGAATGTTTCTCATCTAAATTTTTGCTTTGACTGTAATCGACAATTTTTTTTAAAAAAAAGAATCTGATTTCCTGAGCTTGTGTAATTTTGCTTTTTGTTGATGAAGAACTGTGCGAGTGCGTGTGTTTGTACGTCATTGAAAACATTGATGCATGCCAACAGTTCACTACCTCTTGTTTTCAGACAGCAATTCCTAGTAACACATGTTAGTGACGAGTGTTTTTGATTGTTTATGGACTGACTGAGGAGTTTGTTGGTGACTGAAGACATCTGTTATCTGTATTGAGTGAGGATCTGACTTTTGTTTGCAGTGCAATCCGTTGGGTTTAACCAATTCCCTCACGTGCCTTGAATCTAACCGTGCTCCTTTTCACTGTGTGCATGTTCGTACATTCACCAAAATAGTAAAAAAGACAAGGTTCAAAATCGCTTTGAAGTGTCTTATTGCAACGATCCGTGCGACTATCAACGTCAAGTTTCAAACGGACTTCAAAAAAGTTTCTTTGAAGCGTAGTAACTGTGTACTTATAGGGGAACACAGCAGTCAATTTGTGTCCCACAAACAGTCATAATAATAATAATAATTCTTGCATTTGATACAGCGCCTCATCAAGTCCTCGGAACGTCTCAAAGCCCTTCACAGAATATACTGTAAAGTGGATTGACAAATGGCCATGAAACGAACGAGCAATTTAAAAATATATATATTTTATCTGAAGGATTGTTGGTTAGGACACCAGGAGAATGCTAGGGGCCAAGGGGGTCTTGTTTAGTGCCAAAGGGTCTCTCAATGTCCACCTGAACAGGCAAACAGGATCTCGGTTTAAGAGCTTACGTGAAAGACGACACATCTGAGAGTGCATTGCCCACCCAGTGTTGCATTGGAGTGGCAGCCTATACGAGTTTGAACGACCTTATTGCTTTGAGATGTGCATTAATTACCATGTCGATCACTCTGGTAGAGCCTGAGTACGTTTGTCACCCTCGACCTCTACATCCAATAGGGTCAAAAGTCATTTTCCTCTTCAAGTGATTCATTTGCGTGATTCATTTCTTTTAAAAAAACAAACAATTTCACAAGAAATATTTATGGTCTAATTGTAACATTCACCTTCAGAAAAGCCCAGGCCATTCATTTGTAGCTACACCTGTGGTGGAATAGTTGCTACAGCAATTTAATTATTTTTAAGCAATTAGGCAAATCTCAATCCACACAAAATACAAACTGTTTATTTGAAAAATTGATTTTTTTCTTCAAATATCCACGCGTTCATCCTACAGCTAAGTAACCTCTACCAAGAGGACTGGCGGCAGGAACTGACACTATTTTTAATACTTGATCTTGTTACTAAAAAGAGTCGGTTTTAAGTGTCTTGTGCGTCCAGTGAACACAGGTCTGTGTATAATGTGATGAGCACTAATGACCTGCATCAATGTAACCTCAAGGACTTGGTAACCGACATGTGAATATAATGCTCGATTTGATGTGCAAATCCAGGAAGATTGTAGTCAGAGCACATGAAGCAAAACCACACGAAGCTAAAGTTAGGAGAAAAATCACAAGAAAGACCTTCAAAATGTTGTCCTGCACCATAGACGTGTAAAACTACAAAACTGCAGAGATTTATTTTGGGGTTGGTCAACTGAGTGTCTGACAAGCAACCCATCACAGTTGCTTAAGAGTCTCCAAACCAAGCTGAGAATTCCAGGTATCCCACCTACACGTGGAAATCCCAGAGATAGATTGATGGAATGGAATGCGCTCTCTCTCCTCGGAGGGATGCATCCTGCTCACCTAATTCATGAAAATATTAGGCACAGGTTGGCGCGAGCCAAGCCTTGGGGAGCACAGGCTGAGGAGACCAGACCAAGCAAACGATGACCTAGCTTTTCCAGGTAGCATCATGTTCTTGCATGTCTGAGCTCAAGTCTAAATCCCAGTTTAGGAAAGCTGTTGTAAGCTTTTTTTTTGTTGCGTTGCCAAGTGGACAGCAAATGATGAGCAGAAAGCTGCGCTCTGTACACAGTGCTAATTGGCTAATCTCAGTCTGAGAGGTTTGTTTTCACTGGAGCCAAAGGAAATGTCCCCGGAATCTCAATAGTGACATTAACGCAAACACAGACATAAGATTAAAATGATTTACATACACTGATCTGTTAGTTCTGCACCTCTGGATGTGCACTCCCTTGATTTGTCTATTTCTCGCCTGGAAAAGTGTTTCATTAGTTTGACGATCCAGTCAAATATTTGTGTTAATACCACAGTACAGGATAACAGTCTGAAATTGACTGGAAACCATCACAAGTGGTTTATGTAGCTCCTTTCACGTAGCAAAATATCTTGAAGCACTTCACAGAGATAGAATGAGAGGCTGAGCATGATGGTGGGAGGGAGTTGGTTGAAGGGAAGTTTTTAGGATGACTTTTGAAAGCAGAGAGGAAGGGTGTAAGGCAGAGGTTTTTAGGGAGAGCTGCTTGGTTGGTTGGATGGGGGGCGGGGGAGAGAGAGTGGCTGACAGATCACCTGGACGGAGGGGTAGGTGGGGGAAGGACATGACATGAGCACAAGAGATGATGCTTACATGAGCAGAGGTTCAGAAGTCATTGAAATTATCTGTGCATCTTCCAGATATAAACAAGGTTTCTAAGAACATTGAAGCAGACTCCACTTTTTAACCACAAGTTTAGTTTGTTAAAGGATTTCGGAGGTGTGTGTTCTAAATCACCTTCACAGCCTGACTTTTTGAATGTTTTGCTCAAATTTTTTTTGCACCTAATATTAATGCAGAAAGATATTGGTATAGTATTTACGGATAGCGGTTGGCTGAGCAGGCGTGATTTTGTAACAGATATTTTAGTCTGTAATTTGAACATGTATACTCTTAAGCTCCGTCTCTTAAAAAAAAGAATATCCACAAATTTGATAAGCATTGGGTATTGGAACAATTCTTATTAATCCAATCTTCACTCTGGATATAAGAGCTGCATATATATATAATAAAATATAATAATACTAATATATTATATAATATAATAAAATAATAATAATCTTTGCATTTGATATATCATGTCATGTCGTCGAGACGTCTCAAAGCGCTTCACACCGTATTGGTCACAAACTTGATTTGTATTCCCTTGAATTTAGAAGGTTGAGAGGTAATCTGATGGAGGTGTTTAGAATGGTAAATGGATTTGATAGGGTAGCTAGAGAGAAACTCTTTCCTCTGGTGGGGGAATCCAGAACAAGGGATATATAGTAATAATAATAATCCTTACATTTGATACAGCGCCTTATCACGTCTTCAAGACGTCTCACAGGATATACTGTAAAGTGAATTGACTATATTTTGTGGGCGAAATATATATAGTGTATGTATATTATAGAGCATATCATGCTATCCTGAGCACAAATCCACTTTCTGAATATTTGCCATTCCTTTAAATCATTCACTATAAATCATGCATATGAGTTCTGGAAGCAATTATAACAAAGTCCGCCTTGAATCTTCCTAATCAGCTCCAGAAGCTGCTGTTCATCTCTGGTGTGATGTGCTACACATACTGTTAAAGATATTAGAGTATTAGAAACTCTTAATTGGCTTAAGAGCCGTTGGGTTTGGAGAATGTATTAAAATATTCCAATCCAATTTGCAATTTAATGTGTCCTTTTAGACGGGAATTTGCATCGCAAAGAATGACTTGAATCTGAATGTCACAACTTCAGTAGTGACAACGCACACGAGTGTTTGTTTACAAACAGTCTGCTTATGTCCCTCGTCATTTTATTGTATACGATTCAGTGTTAATTAAACACCCCCCAAAAAAGGGATCCACAAGTTTCATGAGTTTCAAATTTAAAAGTGCTTAAACTGCACAGTTTGTTTGTGAAAGCAACTGGAGTTTGGAGCGGGGTTTAAAGCTTTTGAAATCCTTGTTAATAGGTTTTCAGTGAACTAGGTCAGAGTTTGGCTCAGATGGTAATATTCTTTGCTTTTGTTTGAAAGGCTGTGGGTTCAAGCTCCAAGCTAACACTGTGCTGATACTAGTTCAGTAATGGGTCAAGCTGATTTGTCAGAGCTTCTGTCCTTTGGGGTGAGACGTTAAACCAAGGCCCTGTCGCTAAACTTGACAGTAATTGGCTTTGAGAGGTGTTAGTGTTGTTGGGACTCTCAATTACTAAAATTAGAGAAGAGAAAGATGTGGGTTAAAAGTTTGTTTTATTTTAAATTACATAAATTGTTTATAGAATGTACAATACAATCCATCGGACTTGGGGTTGAGCACTCACCAAGTAGAACAGGAATTTTAAATGCTTTTTTTTCCCCACCAAATGGAGTATTTCTAAAAAGCCACTGCATTTTTTTTTAAACTACAACGTAAAATAGAGCGAGCCAGTCTGGCTATTGTAGAAAAAAGTGGTGAAACTGAGGGTCGGTGGGTTTTTCATTAGATCAAATGGTGCAAAAATTATTTCATAAGCGAGAGAATACAGCTCCTCAAAAGGGAGGGGTGGGGGAGAGGGGAAAGGGAACACACACACACATCCAGAAAACACATATTGCTGGTCGTCTAGATCGGAATATCACTTCTCAAATGGCCTTTGAAAGGTGCTGATGGATTGCTTCATCGCTAAGGTTCCGCGCTGTTTAATAACGTTGCCTGATCTCGTGTAGTTTCCACGCGACATCTTCCAGCTCGTTTTCAATCTGGGCGAGGCTCTCGAGTTCCTGTTCCTGGAATAAATTACACACAAGGCTTGGGTGTTATTCCAACGCTTGGAGGGGAATTAACGGTGCTCGACTGTACACCGTGCCGAGGCAACGAATGCGGGGCGCTGAGCTGTCTCCGCACAGAATAGAAAGGGAATTAGATTTATTTATTTATCCTGCAAGATTGGAAGCAATTGGCTCCAGCTGGTTGATGGGGCTGAAATAATCAGCCACAAATAATAGTTTTTTCACCCTCCCAACATATTTGCATCATGTAGATTGGAGGGTGGTTGGAAGCAGATAAGACAGCTACAAGCAGACTGACCTATAATTTTGTGTGAGCTTTGCCTGGAGTGTTCACTTACATTTGTGAGCGTATGTCAACAGTGATGAGCATTAGATTATTAAGGGTGTGTTGCATTAGTATTGGATGTACATTTCATCTCGCCCGAAACTGCGGTTTCCTCTTTCGGATGCTGATGGCTATGTTGTAGATTTTCTTGGATTCTCTGTACTGGGGGGGGGGGGGGTCTAATTTGGTGTGAACTGCAACAGGTCAACTCTACAAATAGCAAAGAGTGTGAAAATGATCCCCGATAAATACAAAGGGATATTTTTAATGAAATCAACGCAGATGCACTGTGTCAGTGCTTCACTTGTTCGTACTCTTGAGCAGATAACTGAGTCCTGCAGAGCAGAGCGCTACAAGGATTGATCACCGTTCTGTGCTGAGTTTCCTGCCCTCAACACTAGAGCGCACACAGTCTAAGCTGACCCCCCAATGCAGCACTGGGAAGGAGGGTGGGTTGCATTGACGTGCTTCTGATGACACGTTAAACTGAGGTCCAGCCTGCCTGCTCGAGTGGATGGTAAAGATCCCACGGTGCTATTTGAACGGAGAAGGGAGTTTCTCCTCAGTGTCCTAGCTGACAATCCCTCGAATAAAATTGGTCACTTTTTTGGGGGACGTGGCCATGCGTAACTGGACTGCTGTGCTTGTCTGCAAGTGCACAGTCACTTCATTTCACAGTAATTCCTGTGAAGCGCTTTGAGACGTCCGCGAGATGTGATAAGGCGCTCTACCAAATGCAAGGGTTATTATTATTATTATTATTAATACATGGCCTGAACAGTCCTGCCTTAGCTAATTAGCCATGGTCACTGCTCTTGTTACTGCTGCTGGAAAGTACCCAGGTGTACGATTCTCCCATTCCCTCCACTGCTGACTCAACCAGCTCAGACTCGCAACTGGCAAGGCTCATCCGAGGAAGTCACTTCCAACAAGACACTACAGAGCAGTCAAATAAGCCACGAAGACCCCCTTCATTACTCATAATTAGATAATTATTTGAGGACAAGTTTGCAGGTCTATGGGGAGAGAGAGATCGGGGGAATGGGATTGAGTTGGATAATTATTTTCAAACAGCCGGAACAGACACGATGGGCCGAATGGCCTCCTTCTGTGCTGTATAATTCTACGATTCTATGATAATGAAATGTCAGCATTGCAATAAAGTGAGTGAAATATTAGAAGCTGCGTTAATATTAAAACCTCCATGTATTGTAACCCACAAATAATGTATCGTAACCGAATATTTCGAAGCTACCTTACAATTTTGCATTTGAACTTTCATTGAAATGTTGTAATCGATTATATGCCACCCATTTGTTTTCTTATATTAAGCAAGTGTGCGTAACAGTTATTCCAAGGATCTTAAACTGAAGCTAGGCTGCATTGCAATTGTAATATTAGGTCTTTCTATTATAAGATTAGTCATAAAATAACTAATGAATTCCTAGCTTTATGGCACTTAAAATTAGGCTAGCATTTATAATCATACTTACATTTGGTATAGGGTCTCTCACGTCAGGAGGACGTCCCAACAGGATATACTCTAGTGACTGTTCTTATAGGTGAATGGCATCACATAATGATTCCAGCATATCCGCTTAACTATACACTGTGTGTAGATATATATATATATTGCAAATATATATACATATAAGTTTTTTATATAAAAAAAATACAAACCTCATTTCTTCTACTTGCACTTCCCTCCTCGTCTTTTTTCTCCTCCATTTCAGGTCTTTTCTCATTCTTGTGTAGTTTCAGGAATCTATTGTACCTTCTCTCTTGGCTGTTCTCGCTGGGCTGATACATGGCTTCTTCCCAGGAGTTTCTGAATTTGCTGTATTTATTGTGAGCTTTGGGAGTTCGAGACTCTGCGGATCGCTGCCTTTCCGCCAGCATAGATTGATCGCTTTTCTCCTCGCTGACTTCGTCGCGCTTATTCGAGTTTAGCTCCCGAGTCAGCTCGTCCATTTTGCTCCATCTTTTGTTCTCTTCCCACTCTTCAGACAGTCCGCTCTCCTTCTCCTCGCTCTTCTTTTGCTGGTTCAAGTTGTCATCCTCTCGTAACTCCTCGTCTTCCAATTCAGGATCGCTTCTGCTGTTGTCATTTGCCTGGAGTTCTTCGACCGACAAGTCTCTGTCCTGCTCTGCCTCTGAACGGTCCCTGTTTGAGCCATGTCTCCTGAGTACACTTTGGCTTCCATCTTCTTTGGATTCCTCGACCGGCTTGTCTTCTTCTTCTTCTTCTTCTTCTTGTTCATCATCATTATTAGTTAACTCCTCAGTGGTCACTTCTTCCTCGTACTTTTCACTACTCTTTGCTGGTCGCACTTCGATCGTTTCCTTTCTCTGTGTTTCCCGATCTTCGTCTTGTTCTGGTTCTTGTTCCTCTCCAACCTGCTTCTCATCGTGATCGGGGGACATTTCCTCAGACGACTCATTTTCTCTGAGGTTGAGCTTCATCAGCTTGTCTTTTGCTAGACGTTTCCTCTCTCTCTGCGTTAGTTTACTAATTATGTCACTGATTGATTCTGTAGACGGACCATTTCTATCTGCAGAAACACCTCCATTTAGGTTTGACTCCATGGTTTCCGTGCTGCTCTGAGTTACGTCTTTCTCATCCTGCACATCATCCTCCACAACCTTTCTTTCTGTTGCCTCAGAAGTTGGTCCTTGCCAGTGCTCTCCAGGGCTATCGGATGATTCATCTGCAGAGCAATCAATAACCAAACGGTAACATTTGAAGTGCTCACGTGAAATAAATGCTTCATATTCAAGGGTCTACAGGTCCTCAACCTCTACAAGGGTGCAAGCACCAAGAGGAATAGGAGCACGGCATCACTGAATAAATGTTTGGGTTTTAATGCAACTGTTAAACAAATGCTGTTTAAGTTTTTCTTTCTAAGCGCTCTGGGACACTGTCTGGCGTGAGGGGCGCTATATCAAGTTGTTGTTGTTCTTTACTGGAACAATTGCACTTGGATACCGCACGGTACAATGCGGTGGATTTTCTAACGATTCAACACTTTTCAGTATCGATCCGTTTGCATTTTGATCTGTGTCTTTCAAACCAACAGAGGTTCAAACACTAAGATTGGAAATTGTGGTTTGTTGGGAGTCAATTCCCATTTGATAATCGGATTGAGAAGCCGACTCCAAAAGGAACGCAATATACTTATTGTTTCTCCCTTACAAAATAAATTAATTGTCAGTGTACAGTGACGTGCAAGTGTTTGTGGGCAAGGTTTATTCCAATCAAAAAGAACACACGGTCCGCAAATGAATAGGCATTAGCATTGCACTGCCTCTGCTCTGCACGTGCTAACTCGGGATTAAGTAGGTTACCTCAACACTAACCTGCTGAAATCTTTTTGTCGACCTGACTCTTGGCTGCATAGAGCTCTTCCATGTAATCCTTGGTTTGCTTTTCCTCCAATGCTTTCTCACTGACACCTGCATTGAGATGCAAGAAAATGCTGTTTATCTGGGTCTAGCAACAGAACAAAATGTACTGGCCTCGGTGATTGTACGAAATACTGTAAGGTAAAGGATTAAAGTCTCATCCCCATTCAAATCAGATTTCAGTTGGCCATAACCTTTATTGAATTAGTCTCCAGTGTTTTATATTTAGTAAGAATGAGTGACTGGTTAGCTTTTTTCTCCTTTTTTCCCCCCCAAATTAATAATGCGTACACTATCTTGAGGTTTGGTGTCTCTAACACACGGCAGGTTCTATGTGTGTTTGACACCATGTTCCAATAATATACAGATAAGATGATGCTGATAATACCCTGTTCGTTAGGAGTTTCATACATTTCTTATGTGATAGTGTCCGTGTGTATTTGGTGGCATCAAAATGAACCAGTGAAAACACAGGTCCTCTGAGTTAATGATTGATCACCTATGTGGAGTGATTTTACCCTCACATTAATCTCATAATTTACTCAAACTAATTGAAGGTACGCTATTCTAATAAAAACTTTTCTTTAAAAAAAGGTGCCTAGGACACTACCCTGCGTGAGAGTGGGGGGGGGGGGTTGTATAAATGCAAGTTGTTGTTGTAGCAACAATTTAGGAATCCATCTGTAATTTATCACATGAATAGACTTGGATGTTAATATCCAATTCTTATAATAATCCTTGTATTTGATGCAGGATACCTCAAAGCGTGTCACAGGATTTTACTTTAAAGGTCAGTGACTGTGTATTTTGTTAAGCGAACATGATAGCCAATTTTTCAATTCCGGTGGAAAATAAATGCACATGTGGTGGGTATTACATTGACCACAATCTGCGTGAGCTGCTCAAATTGCACAGAGACTGAGACAGAGAGAGAGAGAGAGAGAGAGAGAGGGCAATGGATCCAGTTACCTTCAGTTGCAAGTTCTTGCAGTTCCTTTAGCAAATCCTGGTGACGAAGCACTGAGATGATTCTCTCATCTGCAAAGGCAAACGAGGAAGCAAGCAAGAGCTTAGTCATCAGTTTGTTACATCAGATTTGCCTTCATGAATCTAACAGCTGAGTCAACTGTGGACCTGCACGATGCAGATTTGCTACCCCAGTCCCTCTAGATCCATCAAGGTGTTGCTGTGTGTATAAGGCACCAATACCTTCTCAGCCTCTGGGTAACCATCGGTTCATATCATTTGAAACGCTTTGCAAAAATACTGATTTCTAATCAATGTGTATATGTAATATATGTAATAAAAACACAACGTCCTGGGGTTATCATAGCTCTCTTGCAATTCACTGCTCGATTCGACAAGGGAGAGAGAATGAAATGGATTTCATAATTAGCTTAATGAAGCTGTCAGTGTGAAATTGCTACTCAGGCACTTCCCTTCCCCCCAATACACACACATACAAATCCTCCTCCTTCTGTTCCCCCCCCTCCTTCTGAACCAAACGCATTTGAGATGGATGGACGTGGGATAGAGAGGAGTGGGGGGGTGGGGGGAAGGGAGGGAGAGAGAGGTTAATGTACCTTTTCTGAGAGCTTCCATGCACTCCTCGCTGATTGGTAAAGGACTGGGTTTGGAGAGGATGTCAGAGATGACCTCGACAATGCATTTCATTACCTGCACACACACACAGGGAAAAGAAAGAGGATTTCAGTGAGTTGCTGTGATTGGATTGGGGGGAAGGAAGGCGGAAAGGAAGGAAAGACACGTCCTTGGGGAAAAAACACCTCCAAGGTTAGAATAAGGTCATAACACCGCAGAGAGAGAGAGAGAAAGAGAGAGGAAACATAAAGCTTACCTTAGCATCAGCTTTTGAATGAACATTGGGGACAGGGGATGACAAGGCTGGAATAGAAAAAAAACATTGAGAGAACATGCAATTGATATAGGGAGAGAGAAAGAGAGAGAGATTTCTCAACGTTGCAGTTTCTATTGCATAAACCAAGGAGATCATCAGTGGTGTGTTTTTTTAAAAAAAAATTAGATAAAAACGTTTAAATTAAATTTTAATTATTTTTAAATGTATTTTTTATATCAAATTTCGTTTAAATTCATTTGTACTGATTTAATTTTTTTCCATTGAATTTCGTTTCAATTAATTCTTATGAATTCAATTTGTATTTTTAAAAAAAAGCCACGGGAGCTGAAATGTATAATCTCACTTTTCCCAAAGAAAAAAAATACTTTTATGAAATATAAATGTATTCAGTAAAACAATTGCAAGAACCGTAAGGAAATGGGCATTTATTTAGTTATCTCTGATGAAAGAAACTGCAACATTAACCAACACAAACCTCATAATAAGATAACAAACGGTGACAGTTTACAAGCAATGGTTGATTATTAATTTCTCCAATTAAATTTATTTAATTTAATTCAATTAATTTCTTCAATTAAACACTTCAATTAAATCCGCGATCCAAATGTTTGGCGACTTTTTTTATTATTATTATTAAAAACACACAAAAATAAACCAAACACAGGTGAAAATGAAAAACACTGCATCTCAAAGTTAGTGCTGGAGAGAGAGTGAGAGAGGGTGGGAGGGGAGAGAGTTAGGTAGATATTATTATTAATAATCATTTATTATCAAGAATAACTAAACACAATAATAAATAACTCAATGTGATTTAGAGAGATAATATGGAGAGAGTTAGGTAGGGAGATGTGTGGGTAGGTAGGTGGGTAAGGGGATAAGGGGGGTAGGTAGGGAGGAGGCTGTGGGGTGGGGGTAGGTAGGGAGGAGGTTGTGGGGTGGGGGGTAGGTAGGGAGGAGGTTGTGGGGTGGGGGTAGGTAGGGAGGAGGTTGTGGGGTGGGGGGTAGGTGGGGAGGCGGTTGTGGGGTGGGGGGTAGGTGGGGGGAGGTTGTGGGGTGGGGGGTAGGTGGGGGAGGTTGTGGGGTGGGGGGTAGGTGGGGGGAGGCTGTGGGGTGGGGGGAGGCTGTGGGGTGGGGGGGAGGCTGTGGGGTGGGGGGTAGGTGGGGGGAGTTTGTGGGGTGGGGGGCTAGGTGGGGGGGAGGCTGTGGGGTGGGGGGTAGGTGGGGGGGAGGCTGTGGGGGGGGGTAGGTAGGGAGGAGGTTGTGGGGTGGGGGGGTAGTGGGGGGGAGGGTGTGGGGGGTGGGGGGGGTGGGGGGGGGGGGAGGGTGGGGGGTGTAGGTGGGGGGGTGTGGGAGGGTGGGGGGGTGTAGGTGGGGGGTGGGGGGTGTAGGTGGGAGGGTGGGGGGTGGGGGGTGTGGGTGGGGGGGGGGGGGTGGGTGGCTTTGTCAGCTGAGTGCTGTCCTTGGTGCTGAAACTGGGTCGTACAGTGCATTTACATGGCTTTTGCTTTCCTTCCTCCCACCCCAACCCCTATTCCCCAACTCACACCATCAACCCATCACCCACCGTTTCTGCTGACTTATTTGTTTCTTCCTTATATATATATATATAGTATATAGTATATATATATATATATTCCATCTCCCTCTTTTGAAAGATTTTGAAAAGCCACTGCATTGCACTCAAATTCAAATTCAAATTAAAGAGAAGAAATAAAACCAACCTTACCTGTGCAGGTGAAGAGCAGAAAAGTGAAGATTCCTCTTGCAATCATTTTTTTATGCAGAACTTGAAGACATGCAATATATATATAATATCCTATTTTATCCTCTCCCCACCCCCCCTCTTCTTGATCCTCTCTCTCTCTCTCTCTCTCTGCTGAGCACAGCTGTTGCCAAATATGTGTGTGTAATTTTGTTTTGTTGAAAGAAAATCTATAACTCTACAAAAGCCAGCAAGCGTTTGGAAGTTCAAGGGCAAATAGAAACACACACACACACACACACACTGTGTAATAAAAAAAAAAGCTGAGCTTCAAAGAGAGCAGGAGGGATGATGGTTTTGAGTTGCTCCACTGCAGACTGTGTGGCACACAGCTTGGATTGCTGCAGAAACTCCAGCTTTAAAACACAGCAGGCGGATGTGACATGAAGTCGAGTCCATGGTACATCCCAGCTAACACCCAGCAGAGCCAATCCAGCTAAAGGCAAAGAGAGTATCCACCAATCTGACGTTTATACTGTAGATATGGTTTTTACCACGAAAAACAGCCTCTCTCTCTCTCTCTCTCTCTCCCCCCACCTCTCTCCCTCCCCTCCCACATACACACACAATAAAATCAAAGGCAATCAGATTGCCCTCCATTCGACCAGCAATGACTTAAGAGAATATGTGATATCTGGACTCTGATAAGACTCTGGACTCCCATTTAACATATTTATGTCCATCACCAAATACAGTAGATTGGGTGTTGACCTTATGCTGAAAGTTACACGAAGCGGGTGCCTTGCTTTATAATAGCAATACGACAACGACAATCTGCATTTATATAGAGCCCTTCACTCGGGGCAGAGTCTCGGAGCACTTAACAGCGGCGGAGACTGTCACCCAAGCCAGGGGGAGAGGGAGCAGGTGACCGTAAGCACGGTCTAGTTGGTAATACTAATACTAATTTCAAAGGGTGTTAATAATGTGTGCAAGGTTGTGCTAGTATTTTGTAATGCATCTTTTTCAAAAATCCTTTGTAGTTTTGTGACGATATGACTTTGAGTATTCAACGTCTCAAAAATCTGATTTTGCAGATTTATTTGGGGAGGGGGCTGTTGGATCATTGCGGAAAGTAAATTCTTAAATTCGGACTTGATCTGGAATTCGCTTCTGTTTAAGAACTGCAGAAAACCGGCTTGAAGACACGACTTTTATATTGTTCTCAAATACAGCATTGGAGTTTGCAGACTCATAACCAAAGCACTTTCACTCATTACAGTGCAGTGCCTGTATATTATAAACATATATATACTATACATACATATAAATTTCTTCTGGTTAACACAACTCTGTAATTTATAGCTGGGTAACCAGAGCCATTTCCGCTGTACAGATTTTGATGTGATGTTTTTTAGCTCCTTAAGACCTCCAATAAACAATATTGATTAATTTCAGGTGGCACAAGCCCAGAAATCAAGGGAAGTAAATTGTAATAGAGCCTCAGAATAAATGAATTGTTTTTTTTATATACAGAGATCACTTTTATGTCACAGATGAGGACAGACAATAACATCTCGCTCAAGGCTACCTGCGATGCTATTGAACGAAACACGGGGGAAGCATGGGTGTCCTCAACAGCACCGGGCTGAGTGCTTCCAGGTGATGGTCAGAACATACAAGATAAGGAGCGCGGGTTATTTCAGGGGCTGAGCTATTACATCTAAATGGAGGATTGACACGTCTATAATTTTCCTCCATTATACACGAGATGATAGAAACCGGAGCATTTCAATAGGATACGACACACTCTGCATCCTTCCAAAGGCATTAGATTTCCTTTGAAAAAATAAAGATCAGCATTTCAAAGCCTGTTGAGACAGTTATTGATGCCCACACAAAGCATCAATGCTATTACTGAATGGGGGCTATTTCAATGGTAGCATAATAAGGTACTCATGATGGGTAGAAAGCAACTACTCATTTTGCTGCACGTGATCCAACACAGCCATCTCAGCAAATCTCTTATCAATCGTTAGCCTGGAATCATCTGCCCGAAATTCCACCTATTCTCAGCCTTCAAGACCACCTTTATTTTTAAAATTTAAGAGCACTCGGTATTGTGGAAAATCGTTAAATTCAGCTTCAAAACTCGCCTCTTCGAGGCATCTCCCCCTTCCTCCCCCTCTCCCTCAGTGGGCGACCACCCATCTCTGTGTGAAACTCTCCGAGACATTCCCCTATGTAAACAAGGGTGCAATATGAGTGCAAGTTGTTGTCATTTGGAGACTGGTTTCTGTTTAAGAACTTTCTAAGGATCATTGACTTTCAAATTAAGACTGAATTTAAGGATTTTGCGCAATCCCGCACACTCTAAAATTATGAGACAAAAGAAGAGATACAATTTGGGGTCTGAGTCAACCATTGTTATATTCTACTGTAATTATGCTTCCTTATAAACTGGGCAATATCTGGGCGACAATAATAATTATCCTTACATTTGATAAGTCGCCTTATCATGTCTTCGAGAAGTCTCAAAGCGCTTCACAGAATATCCTTTAAAGCGAATTAACTGTGCATTTTGTGGGCAAAACGTGGCACCCGATTGCAGGTGTCTCAGATATTGGTTGGCTTAAATGTTACTGCACTGGGACAGTGTAAGTAAGGTACGGGTAAAGGATTTTTGCTGTGGTGGGGAGCGAAAGGGAATGGGCTCACGTCCAATCTGTTGGGTCTGAGCCAGCAGAGAGACTAGCTGAGCTGGACATCTTTCAACCGTTTCCTGATTTACTTGTTACATACAGTGTAGAGTTGGCACAGATCTGGCAGGAGGTCATGTTCCTCTGGGGAATGACGCATGATCCAAGGATAACCCCCTCCCCATAGAGCGAGCGAAACAAAGTAACTCAAATATTCGACAATTTAAAACAAGTAGCTTCTGGAAAATGAACCGGACAGGAAGGAATTCCACTGCCATGTTCTTTTGGTGGAATATCCTTTTTTTTAAAAAAAACATTATTTTTGGACTTTATGTAACTTCTGGCCACTTTCAACATAATGTATAGAGTTATAAATAACAAAAAAAAACTAAATATTCACCAAAATGTGATGAACAGTACAGTATATAAACAATGACGATAATTCTTGCATTTAATATAGTTCCTTATTATATCACTGAATGCACTTCATGGGATTTACTGTAAAGTGTAGTAAAGTGTGCTTATGTGGCAGCTAATTTGTACACAGCAATGTCTCACAAACAGCCAATTAAATGAACGACCAATTTGGTTTGGAGGATTGTTGGGCAGGACATATTCTCAAACTTTCTCTTTCAGAATGGTGCCATGGGATCTTTCACACCCACCTGAAAAGGCAGACGGTAATGTTCAGTACGGTATTACAGTAATAACAGAAACCTGGGAGGTAGCAGTATTGAGTGGTATTCTCTCTCTACGAAATTATAAAATGTGACCTTCTTGTGGGGAGTTAATAGCTTGTGATTTATGAGGTTGAACCACGAAAAATCATTAACATATGAAAAAAAAAGCCTGACTCACGCTGGATTGACTTGACAGTAAATTATTCGGCTGCACGGATTAAATGCAGCGATGGACAGCTAGCCTTTACATTAGCTTCAGTCGCAGAAGGAGCTGCTTTAATTCCTGCAGGAAACTATTGATGCTTTCCCATAGATCTCCATTCATTCCGTTTATTTATTCAGCAAAGAGGCAGGCGGCAATAACATGGGAAGCAGAACACAGTGCCTAAAGAAATTATGCTTTAGATATATCTTTTTTTATAAATGTGTTATTCCATTCCTGTTTCACCATTGTGGAGTTCTGTAGAGTAGTGGTTTCAGTGTTTGCCTCGTAAAGTGAAACATAGGAATAGGAGGAGGCCATTCAGCCCATTGATCCTGTTCCGCCATTCTATAAGATCATGGCTGATCTGTACCGCAACTCCAATTACCCGTCCTTTCCCCATATGCCTCGATACCCTGATGGGGGGGCCACTGCGTTTTTGACCAGTTAATGTGTTCCAGTGAAATTAATCATCTCGAGCCTTTTGGAGGTCATATAACCTCTAGCATTCGTATCAAGCTGTTCATCTTATTTTCAGACTTACCATGATCCCGCTCGCTCTCAGTTCCATGAATTTTGTGCTGTTTCAGTAAAATAAAAATAAAATAAAATAAAATAAAATAAAAGCACAGTGAAGGCTGAGAGCAGGAGTATCTGTAAACTATTATCTAAGGTTATATTATTGCTAGGAACTTACACCAGTGTAACTTTTTGATTGAATGATTCTGTAGCGTGTTTAGATCTGGGGCTGCTTTTTCGAAGGTGACAACTTGCCATAAAGTGCAGTTGTTGATTCCCAGCAATGCTTAATGTTCTTTAGATGTAATGCACAGTGAGGAATGAAATACATTTGATGTCATTTTTAGGGAGAAAGATAATAATAATAATCATCCTTGCGTTTGATGTCTCAAAGCGCTTCACGGAATATACTGTAACGTGAATTGACTGTAAAAAAAAAAAGTTTTTAATTCAATTTAAATTAAATAAATGTAACTTTTAATTAAATCATTTTTATTCAGTCGCTGAGAAATTTTCGCATTGCTTGGAGAGGTCGACATATTCAAAGAAAAGAATTATGACCGGTTCGCTCATTTGACAGCTAGCTACACAGTAGTTTGTTTCTAACGGAATTGTGTAACAGTAGAAATAATCAGCGCAGTTTTCGTATTGCTCTCAAGGTTGCGCGCCGGTAGCTGGTATTCTGCACATCTCAGCATGTAAACCATGACCAGCTGACAGTGCTAAATATATCCCCACATCCCTCTGGCGTGTTTCTGCCAGCTCTCTGGATTCATAACTCTAAGCCAGGCTGCTGTCAAATCTCAGGCTTCTCTGCGGTGCTCTTGCTCTCGGGCATGGCCCAAACCTCTTGAGTTGAGGGAATTTGATAGAGCGCCTTATCACGTCATTGAGGCGTCTCACAGTGCTTCGCAGGATTTTACTGTAAAGTGTCGGGACTGTGCATCTTGCAGGTGAACACGGCTGCTGATTTGTGCACAACATTGCCCTACCAACAGCCATGAAGAAAATGACCAATTTTTCTTGGGTGATTGTTGGCCAATACACCGTTTGCTGCCACGGTGCTAATAACCCGGTTGAAATGTGATTTGTTGGGCAGACGTCATTAACCTTATATAAGGCAAGTTTTTACCACCGCTATTAAAATTCTGAAGCCACATTAATATCCTATCACGAAGTGAGACAGGCCTGGTGTTTAACAACAAGTAAACATAATTTCAACCCAAGCATGCAGCCATCCAATTAGTCTTAAATTGCCATAAAAATTGGAGTCACTTAGCCTCCTGGGTGTCCCCTGTTGTCAT